TTTCATTTGAGCGAGTCGATTAAACAATCGGTTAATGGCTTCGTGAGTCAAGTTTATCTACCAATTAATAACGACATGAAAAATTCATCCCATCCTGAAAATTAGGCGAGACTCGAATAAATTTTATACTTTTTAACTCGTAAAAAAAAAAAGAGAGTAACGTCACGAAAATCTGGTCCGTCTGAAAATGATCAAGGACAAAGAGGCATCTACGGATGAAAGCCATTTTTTAGTGACGTCTACTGCGAATACTCTTGTAAATCTTCTCAGTACTATTACAATTGACAAAAAGCCTCGTCCTGCTGCTTGAAGCTTTTCAGATAAACGATTTTCCGCGTCGTTCCTTCCCCGATGGGGAAGTAAAGAAACAGAACGCAAGAGACGAAGTAGCCGGCATTATCTTTCGCAGTAGTCAAAAAATTCTAGCGAGAAAGAACAAGAAAATTGTTGATTCGTTTATCTACACGCAATGAAATTTCAAGTATTTAATGAGAAAACGTGGTGGCACGGGATATTTAATTTAATTCAATTTTTCTCTAATCAATTTTATTTCAAGTTCCATTATCTAATTATTTCTTGCTGCGTGATAATTCGAAAAGAGCGTGATAATTCCGTGTCGCTATTTTCTAATAAATTAAACATATTTCAATTCTTCAATACGACAAAGATATCTTTATTTTTATCGAAGATGTGGAAAAAATACATTTCAAGTATCGAATTATTGTACCATGAAACTGCTATGAAATAATGAATTCCACAACGATAATCAATTATCAGAAGTTAATAATCTGTACAACGATCTTTTCCTAACTTCGACATCTCCAGGTTTTATTCCCCAAATGCGTCCAACCGACACCGAGTCAATACACGTCCCTCGCCTAATCCCAAATTACAACGATCCAAATCTGCGCCTGAATCTGCAATTAAATCTCCAAACATGATACAGGCTACAGCATCGGTAATAGGAACCGCGATCGTCAACCAAACGAGCTTCACGATCGATTTGCAGGAAGTGCAAATGATATTCGCAGCTGCAACAGAACGCCTCGCTGGAAATTTCGGAAGTCGGACCACGCGAGCAAACAATCGTTATATATTAGGTACGATCAGCCTGATTACAACGCGTGTGTCATCACAAGAAATTTACATTTTCTATCGCCAAGGCGGGTTTCTCTATACGTGGGTGTACACATACACACACATACACACACACATATATATATCGGCTTCCAGGAGCGCGTCAGGTGCGTACTTAGGGTGCGACGATTGGGCGACAAGATTGCGTTTAATGGAAGTTTCGTGTCGCAGCTGGTTAATCCGTCGGTTGTCGCTTCGACTGAGCGGCGTATTTTTAAGGTGGTGCGAGAGAAGGCCGATAAACGTAGCCTTTACTCCGACGGGGATTCCTTTCCACGCAATGCCACTCAATTTACAAACTCTTTACCCTCGTTTTTTTCTTTCTCT